GACACAAAGCCTGGGCCCTGCTGCTCATCCTTCAGCCTATGCAGGGCGGGTGCGCGGATGGAGGGCGGGAGCCGCTCTGGGGCCGGTATGCCTGGCTTCAGGTCTCTACCTTGGTACTCACTAGCTGTCCGACCTTGAGCCCGTCACTGCCCCTTTCTGTGTTTCTGTTTCTGCATTTTTAAATGTTGAAAATAACAGCACTTCATAGGGTTGGGTGTGAGGATTAAATAACATAAGCAGTATTCACGGGTTTAGGAAGGCGCTTGCCACACGACAAAGGCTGGTTATTATCATTAGCCTGGGAATCAGTAGGCTCGGTGACTGCCACTCACTTACCTAGGAATTGGACAAACCTTCAAGATCTGCATAAAACGTGCCTCTTCCACGAAGCCCACCCAGATTAACTGCACTCCATTTAAAGCTCTCCTTGATTCCCAGAATGTAAACAGCACAGTCGACATTATCTAAACTAACTGGAGTGGGCGTGGGGCGAGCAGCCTGTGTACCCTTCCCCCACAGCACCAACCTTGCCTCGGAGGCCCAGAGGCCCGGGCGTTGTAGTCCAGCCCTGGGCTAGCTGCTGGGTGCGCGCTTTGGGGTAAATCGCTTCATCTTTGTGACTCAGTTTCCTCGGTAAAATGAATGTGGCAATACCTCTTTTACCTGTTTTGCAAGATGAAAAAATTCTGATTCCCTGATTATACTTTGACAATGGAAGGAAATGAATGAGCAAAATGTTTTTTCGAAGCATATTTAATAATCTGGAAAAATGATGCCACTATACAGTGTTTATTTTTCTATTCTGAATTAAATTTCTTATTTGAAATTTTTACAAGAAGATGCATTAATACATTTTCCTGGTATGAGTCACAATATAATGTGAATCAAAAAAGGGCAATCAATTGTATATGAAGTGTGACCCCAACTTTGTTTTAAAAAAGTATAAATACACTGAAAAAAATAAACGTAAGGAAATCCACCAACATATTAGCAGTGTTACCTCTGGGTGATAGGACTACTGGTGATTATTATCTTTACTTGATTTTTCTATATTTTCCCCTTTTTTTTCTAATGAGGATATATAATTTTTATAAACAGAATAAAACTACAATTATTTTTTAAGAAAAATAAAAGATGTGTCTGGAAATATTCAAGCTAAGCAAAAGCTAGTTATATGTCACTTTGTGCGAATAATCAGAAACCTTTAAGATTGAAATTCTGCCTTTTGGAAGCTCCTGTCCCCCAGCCATGGGTCCGCCCATGTGTTTTTCTCTTTGAAAGCCACTCCTTTGGCTTCCAGAACTTCACCAGCCTCCTTGCCTGAAGTTCCTCCTTTTACAGTCCGTCCTGGCTGGGCCAGGGGAGCTGTGGGCTGTGCTCTGTGGAGATGAAGACCCTGGAAATCCCTGCAGAGTCACCAGCTTATTTACGTAGCTGAGGAGGCCTGTTCTTCACCAATACAAAAAAAAGAAAAGCAAAGCGGTGGCACGCGTGTCCCCTCTTTGGGTTCTTGTGCTTCTTCTGTATGTTCTTCACAGTCCATGAGGACCTTCTTAAAGCCACCCACAGCCTTACTAAACCTAGAAGCTCAAACACCTTCAGTGGCTCCTAATTTCCTTCAGGGTGGATATTGGCCAACTTCCTTAGTTTGGACTTTAAGGGCCCAGAGGATCTGAACCAATTTTCCTTATAGCTCCCATGCATCAGTCAAATGGTCTGCTAGCCAGCTGCACAGCCAGGCCAGGAAGGGACAATAATGAGCGAAGAGAGCTGGGTGTAAGAATGCAATGGGGAAAGGTTGGCGCTGTGGCAAACTGAAGCAAGCACAGACTTTCTAAAGGGCCTGTCACTTCTCAGTGCCAGTCAACTGTTGCCTGGTGGGATCTTCCAGTTTTTCAAGAGAATTGAGAAATCTGGACCATAAGTGAAATCTCCTGATTTTTAAATATCGGCAGTTAATTCACAAAACACACTTGGCTAGTCTGCTGATCACAATTTGTGACTTGTCATAGGAACACATTGAACTTTTCTCCCTTCATACCTTTGCTTTTGCTTTTCGCACTGCCAAGAATACTTCCCACTCATCTGGGTCTAATGAACTCCACCTATTCCATCCTGCCCGGCCCAAACACCACGTCTTTCATGAGCATCCCCCAATGATCTCAGCTAGAAGTGACATCGTCCTTGGGGCTGCAATCATTTAGCTCTGTGCCTGTCCATCACATGCCATAGTTACTTCGATGAGTCCTCTCTCTCCTGGTAGACACTGAGCTCCTGAAATATTCCACAAATATTTATGGAGCACCTGCTTTGTTGCAGGCACCAGGCTAGGCATTGGTGATACAGCCTAGAGAATTCTATATGGCATAAAGTCTAGTACAAGGGACAGATTTTACATAAATCATTCCCAAGATACCTAATTCCAATTGGGATGAGTTTTATGGAGTTAAGAAAAGTTTATAAAAGGAACTTAATCCAGGCAGGAGGATTAAGCAGGTCACAAGGCAGCCTGGGGAGCATTAGCACTAGGGCGGCCACATAAGGTTGCACAGTTTGTATACTGCACAAAGGTAACTAGCTGAGAGGGCAGGCGAGAGCTGAAATCCAGTCCCTGCTTGCTTGCCCAGGCTGTGCCTTTTTCTAATTTGCAGAAAGGCATTGTGTAGACTAGCAGGGGCAGTGTGTAGTTCCTCCTCCCCTCCATCTGCCCCCCAAAAGCTGTTCTAAATAAATGTACAATCTAAGCAAAAACAGTGACCTCCATATATATATGCAGCCCCAAGAAATGTCCCCTGTGCTCCCTTTCTTCCAGAACACAACCCCTGAATCCTTACTTTAGAGACCTTGGGAACAAGGAAGGCATCTCTGAGGAAGTGACAGAGGAGTTGAGACTGAGGGATAAGAAAGGGCCAGTCACTAGGAGTATGAGGAACAGCATGTACAAGGCGTCTGAGGAAAGTAGCACGGTGAGGGACCTAATGAGCAGCCAGTGCGGCTGAAGTGTGGACAGAGAGGGGAGGAGCAGCAAGGGGTTGGCTGGCAGTGACCATAACATCATGGCCTGGAAGGCCACATTAAGGGGTTCAATTATTATCCTGAAATGTCTTATAGATCCCCCTCCTTAACCACGTTGCCATGGGTGTCTCTGCCTGTGGGTACTCTGCAGAGAGCGCACCGTAACAGAAACTGCCTTCACAGAGCGCCGACCGCGAGCCATGCACTGTGCTGGGGCCACACGTCCAGCTCGGTCCTCCTCCCTTACCCTCCTAAGGAGGTAAGTATTCTTTGATTCCAGTTGCACTGATGAGAAAATTGAGGCACAGGGAGGATGAGCTGTCTGCCCAAGGTTGCCGGGCTATTAAGGGGCAGGCTGGGATCCACGCCTAGGTCTGTGGGATTCTGAGCCCCTCCTCTTGGCTGCCACGCAGCAAGGACCATCATTACCAAACAGAAGGCACAGAGTCCAGAGCTTTGCTGCTCAAAGTGGGGTCTGGGGGCTTGCAGCATTGGCAGCTCCTGGAAACTTGTCAGAAAGGCCGGACCTCGAGGTCCACCCCCGTCCTACCGAATCAGAGTCTGCATTTTACAACAATCATGGACACATTACAGGCGGAGAAGCAGCCGACTAGAGGCTAGTCTAAGCAAAGTGGCAGACCGCCTTTGCAGCCCTTATACAACAGGCCTGAGCTCCAGTGACTTGAAAACAACTTATTACAACCAAATTTGACGGAATGGCCAACTGTTGCATCTATCCACTCACCCCAGTTTTGTCTTCTGTTGTGACTCTAACGGGAAAGACTGTGAAGAGCTACGTCAACTCCAGAGAGGGGCTGCCGTACACTCTGCTTCTGCTCAGTTCCTTACTCTATTTGCCCTCATCTCGCAATAAATCTAAAGCCGTTTGACCATTCTGCTGGTTAATTACTGCTCCAAATCATCTTTTATTTGGGGGCCACTCTGATCCCCCAGATCTTGTTCTGGGACCCTCTTTTCACAAACAACTTCCCTTTTTAGCTTGCATACCAAAGGAGGCAGAATGGTTTGGTAGAAAAAACTAGTGGGTGAGGAAAAGCTGGGTTCTCCTTCAGCGTTAAGGCTGCCACGTGTTGTGTGCCTTTGGTGAACTCCCACCTCCACTACCCCATCTCCATCTGAGAAATGGGTAGGATGGACTACATTAGGAATCACTAGATCAAGGGATCAGCAGGTAACAGAAAGGCAGTTCAGTTGCCTAGGAGAATAGGAGGGAGTAGTGGGGACTGCGGCAAACTAGAGGATGCAATGCCCTTACTGAAAGAGGCAGCCCCACTCAGCATTAGGCTATTGCTGTCATGGGAGGTGCGGGTCCAGTGTGACCATATATTCTAATTTTTCAAGAGTCGGGAATCTGATTTTCCCCCTATGAAATATTGGATGGTACTTAAACACTGGAATCCAGCTAGAACTTAAACATACAAACAAAAAACACTGTGTGCAGATCAGGTGCAGGCCACATCGGCCCGTGGGCCACCAGTCTGCGATGCCTGCCCTGGAGGCCGCCCTAACGTTATGTACAAGCGTACGATTCCATCCGATGTGTAGCTCTTCCAGAACGCTGCAAGGCGGCGGCCGTCTCAGGGGCGGAATCTGGGCCTTCCAGGGCCGGTCGCCCCTGCCCACTGCGGCCCTGGTCCCCATGGGTGGCCCCGGGAGAGGGTCGTGCGCAAGTTCTCAGTCCGGTTGGTCGTGGCGGTGGCGGGTCGCACGGCGTCGCTTTCTTCACACCCTTCCTACCTGCTCGCCTGCTCTCCCGGCAGCGCCGCAGCGATGACTCAGCCTTCAGCGGCCCAGGCGCGGAGGGAGGAGGGGGGAGGGAGGAGGGAGGTGGGAGAGGGCGGGGAGGGGCCAGTGGCGGGGGTGGTGTGGGGAGGAGAGAGGAGGAAAGAGAAAAGACGGGAGAGGGAGCGAGGCGGGGAAGCAGGCGGGAGGAGGGGAGGATCTCCTAGGGCGGCCGGAGCCCCAGCCCCCGCCTCTCCCCCGGTAGGTTGTGCGGGAGAAGCGGCTAGGAGAATAGCAGGGCGGGCGGGGCTGAAGCGGAGAAAGGAGGTTGGACGCTAACCCCCATTCATCCGCCATCCCCGAGTGCCCTGGTGACCACGTGGTTCCTAGCCACGCCCACAGGCCACCCCCTGTCGTTGTTGGGTTAGTGCCCGGGAATGCATCTTTAGACACGGACCCTTGGAGAGCACCTCTCCGCGGAGGCCTCGGGGCACAGGGCAGTTAGAAAGGGACCGAGATGAAGGAGACGGAGCCCTGCTTCCGGGGCCTTGCGGGGGAGAGAGAAGACACACCGCCTATCCGCAAGTGGAAATATAAAAGGAGAAAAGACCTGGGGGAGCATTTTGCTGGGCTACGCGTGCAAGTAGCCGTAACACGAGGTTGAATTTGGAAGGTGCCCCAAGGAAGTTTCCTTAGCAACTTTTTATAATGTAAATGAATCGAGGAATGAAGGAAATGTGCTATGGAAGCATATCTGTGTGTATATGAGGGGACAGGTTTATTTTAATGTCTTTTTGTATGTCCGCTTATGTGTGTTTGGGAGGATATATAGGAGTATACGTGTGTGTCTTGAGCGATGTATGTATATGTATGTTCATGTATATAAACACAGTGATAGTTGTATATGAGTTTGTGTGCCTGGAATGAGCCTCTGTGTTTGCACAGGTGTTTATCTTTATGTCCCTAAATGTTAAGTATGTGCGTCTACATGAGATTTATGGACTTTCCTGAGTTTGTATTTAATCTGTGTATGTAGGTGAATGTGTGGGTTTGCGTACGTGACTGCATACCTTGGGTATGTATTGCTTTCCTGTGCCAGTGGTGGGTATGTGTGTGTGTATGTGGGACTACGTGTGTCTTGGTGAGATTGTGGTATGATTGTGTGTGTGTATATGGGAATACGTTAATGAGTCTGTGAACAGAGCTGGAGTGTGTCTTGAGGTTATGTGTGTGTGTGTGTGTGACAGATGAGAACAGATGTGTTTTTCAGAGTCTGTGGATGTGACTGTGTGTGTGTCTTGATGTATCTCTGGAGCCGTGATTCAGTCTGTGATGAGGGCCTGGGATTCTTAAGGGTTGGGCTGGTTAAGGCGTTTCTTAGAGGAGGAGGTCCTTGGGGGGAGTGGGGACTGTGGAGATAGGAAAAGCCTGGGGTGTGCTGGCCCAGGGACTCTCCAGGCTGGCGATGTAGGCTGAAGCAAGGCAGAAGCTTTTAATGCCGGAACCAGTTATGGCGCCTCCTCTGCTTTCCTCCACCCTCTCACATGCTAGGTCTGCTCCTCTGGTGGCCTCCTTCGGGTCCACCTTGTCAGTGGTCTTCTGCAGAGCGCATGTCCTTGGTCATTAACAGTAGCAACATTACAGAGCACCTACTGTGTGTCTGCCCTGGAAAGCACTGAACTTGGTTCGCCCCTAGGAGGCAGGAACTTAGTATCCCCCATTTTCTGGGGGGAAACTGAGGAGGTGTGGTGCCTGTTCCTGGTTACACAGCTGGCGTGGGTGCCTCACACCCCACAGGCTGTGTGCCCGTTCAACTGCTCCACCAGGGTCTCTCAGCCCCGGCACTGCTGACATTAGGGGCCACATGATCCAGCGTTGTAGGGGCCGGTCCTGTGCACTGTAGGATGTTCAGCAGCATCCCTTCCCTCTACCCACGAGATGCCAGTTGTGATCCCTCCCCAGCTGTGACAACCAAAATATCTCTCTATATTTCTAAATGTCCCCTGGGGACAAAAATCACCCCTGCTTGGGAGCCAGTGGGCTAGACTCTCCTGCCTCCCTGGATGAATGCTTTCTGAGGGGCGGCACCATCCCCACCCTGTCCAGTGGCTTCCACGGTCCCTCTGCTTCCACACTGATCGTCACTTCCATGCAGGTAGCCCCTTGCCTCTCCCACGGTCAAACAGCAGGCTTACCAGCTGGGCCACCTTTCCCAGAAACTCAACTTCTTTGAGCCCCAGCCATAGGAAGCACAGGGCTCAGGAGATACCTCTATAGCCCTTATTATTATCCCTTGAGTCACGGGGGTTCCCTGGGGTCAGAGCCAAGAGGAAGAGGGCTGCAAGCCAGCTGCCCTCTCTGGTCCAGAGCTTTGGACTCTGCTGGTTCTGCGAGTTTGCTTTTCTGGTTCAGCGAGAAGAAAACAATGCTGTGGTGTGGGGCCAAAGCTGGCCCCATTTGATGCTATCATATTTATGCTATTTCATCTTTGCAATAAAACTGCCTGACTTTCCCCACCAGCAGAACCTGATTTTAGTGAGCCAGTGCTGCACTGTACACAGGGCAGGTGCTCAGGAAGGGCAAGGCGGAGCCGTCAGCAGCGCTCTCGGCATCTGAACCTGGGCCGGGCTCCAGCAGGGTGTCCATGCTGCGGCAGGGCCAGCTGGCCACCATGGCGTGGCCCGGGAGAGCCTGGGCGGCACGTAGAGGGAGTGCCGTGGCTCTGCACACGAGCAGGAGGCCTGAGTCTCCTGCTACAAACAGGATGCAGGTGACAAAGCCCACGGGGGACTTCCATGCCACCCCTGTCTCTGCCACTCGGGAAACTCTCTTCCCATCTTGACTCTGTCCCTTTGCTTCACCATCCCTCCCTCCGCTCTTCTGTTCTCGTGCAATCCCTGCAGTGTCCCTGATGTGTACCAGGCCCTTGCTCCATCCCCTCGGGAGGCTTCAGAGCAAAGTGGTTAAGGGTGAGGCCTCTGCCACCTCATCACCTGAGTCTCTGTGGTCTTGGGCAAGGCACTTCACCTCTCTGTGCCTCAGCTTCCTCAGTTCTAACATGGGCACACAAAGAGGCCCTATCTGGCAGGATTAAATGAGATACTCCGTGTAAAGGATGCTAGGCGTGTAGTAAGCCCTTAATAAATTGCAGCTGCCATTATTGCTATTATGCTTGATTGACAGTGAAATGCAAATGAGCCCTTACGAATTGCCAGGCAATGTGCTAAGCCCTGGACAATTCTTTTCTCATTGATGCTCTGCAGCTCTAGGAGGAAGGTGCTTTTATTAGCCTCACAGCAGGGAAGAGGAAGCTGAGGTCCAGGGAGGTTAAGTAACTTACCAGAGTGACAGCGCTGAGAATCTGAACCAGTGTTGTCCCTGCAAAGCCCAGCTGCCCTGATCTCCTCTGAAAGCAGATTTCCCCTGGGAAGGAGGGGCTCGTCTCCAGCCTGCGTCTCCCGGGGCAATTGGAGAGGCCTGGAGAAGAAGGCAGTGAGGGGCCTGGGCAGGAGGAGGGGTTTGGCTCAGAGAGAGTGAAGTTTCTCTTGTTCAGCTTTTGATGAAATCACCTAGCACGGTGGGCTGTGGAGTCATGACCTCCAAGAGGTGTTGCCAAGTTTTTACCAGTGAGTAAAGTTTATTATAAGCCAGGGTGTACGTTGTTCCAGTGCTTTTTGTTTGAATTGGACCGTAGGGCAGAGGCAGACAGGTATTGCCGTGCTACGTACGAGTCAGAGGACAGACGGGGGGAGGCCCGTTTTAGAGCTGATGCCAGAGGAAGACAGTGTGTTTACCGGCAACGGTGAGAACTTGGCCAGGTGAGCACACAAGAGAGAGAGAATGGTTGGTGTGGAAGGGTTAATTCTTCCAACACGTGTGCCAAAGTGGACAAAGAGAGTCATGTGATAACTGTTTTGTTTTCTTTTAAGGATATTCAAGGCATCGTTTGTCCTTGTACTGTGAGGGCGTAGTTGCGTTAGTTATTTATTGCTATGTAGCGAATTACCCGAAAGCTCATTGACTTAAAACAAATATTTATTATCTCACAGTTCCTGTGGATCAGGAAGTCAGAAGTGACTTAGCTGTGTAGACTCTGGCCTGGATTCTTTCCTGAAGTTGCAATCAAGATGCCAGCCAGGTCTGAAATCATCTGAAGGCTTGTCTGGAGCTGGGGAGTCCCCTTCCAAGATGGCTCGCTCGCATGGCTGTTGGCGGGAGCCTCAGCTCTTCGCCATGAGGACCACTCTATGGGGCTGCTTGAGCATCCTCACACCATGGAGATGGGCTTCCCCCAGAGCAAGGGAGAGCAAGGTGGAAGCCACATTGTGTTTTATACCTAGCTCCAGAAGTCATGCACCATGGTTTCCTGAATAGCTTGTTGTTTACACGAGTCAGCCCTGCTGGGAGGGGACCACACAAGGAAGTGAATACGAGGAGCTGAAAATCATGGGGCCATGTTGGAGGTGGGCTATCACACTGGTAATCATTGTTGACTTGTTTACTATTATTTGGAAGATTCTGGATCTCAAATCAAATCCAGTGTTCAAAAGTGGGCTGCGAACACAAAAAAGTTGGGAGCTGCTCATCCAATGGCTTCATTTCATCTGTATCTGCCTGTGGGGTCCCCTGGGGGGCCATGACTCCAGCAGTGTCCCAAGATGACCCCATCAGAAATAAACCTCTACCATCCCATGACACTGAAAGCCTGTTATCTGTGCCAGGTGCCAGCAAAGCACAGATGCATAGGAAGAAGCAGGAACTTTGCAGCCAGACGGAACTGTGTTCAAATCCTGACTCCCCTCTTGATGACCTGGGGACTCTGGACGATTGGCTTAACCTCTCTGAGCCTGAGTGTGGTCGGGTGTAAAATGGATTGAGATCAACTTCACAGGGTCGTTAGGGAGATGAAATACAGGATGACAGAGCAATGATAATAGGAGTCAGGTGATCTGCCAATGTTGACCCCTAGATTTATTATTCATACTGATAACAATAAAATAATAATAATAGCTCACATTTATTGACCTCCTATTATTGTCAGTCTCTGAAGCTTAAAGCAGTTAAGAACTTTGTCCAAAACACACTGCTGGGAGAGCTGAGACCCACACTCAGTTCTGTCTCTCTCCAAAGCGAAACTGTGTGACAACAAGCTCTTTTCTTAATAACGGTCTGCAATGATCTACACATTATGTGGTTCTACCGCCTTCCTTTTCCTCTGTCTCTTTTTTGGCCACTTAGTAGTATAAGGACGTACCATAATTGGTCAATGATTTCCCCTGTTGTTGGATACTCAGTTTCTGCTTTCCACTATTAACAGTGGGGCGTCAGCGAGCATCTTTGCTGTGCAGGTGTTTGCCCAGGGCTCACCACATGCCAGGGGCTGCGCTAAGCACTTGATGTGTGTCCCACATTTAATCCTCCACCAGCCTGAGGACACCCAGCTAGGAAATGACACTTTCAGGCTCTTACTTGTCTAATAGAGTGCCTTTTAAGGGTTGAGAGTCCCTTACCTTCTCCATCCTGAAGATCTTCCTTCCAATAGGGCCCCCAAGGAGTGCCTGTGTTTTCCCTGCAGCAGGTGCATGAGAGACCAGAGGGCTTGGAGTCTGCAAACCCGGGTTTAACAAAAGGACAGCTCTTGACGGGTTACCACCAGGCTCACAGCAGCCAGGGCTCACCAGATGTGGCCCTGCATCAGTCAGGAAAGGCCAGGTTATGCTGTGGTAACAAACGATCCCAAGAGAGTGGCTTAAAACATCCATTGTGGGAATGTGATGGGCTCCGTTTTACGTTGCCCTTACTCTGGGCCCCAACTTGATAGAGCAGCCATGGGCGTGATCACCGCCAGTCACCATTCCAGGAGGCCAGAGGGCATGTAGGCAATTGCGCGCTGGATCCTAAAGCTTTGCCTGGAAGGGACTCGTTCCTTCCTCTCACTTTGCTTTTTTGATAAAGCAAGTCATATAGGCATGCTTAACCCCGAAAGGACATGTGCCCCCAGTGGAGAGAACTGTAATATTTGGTGAGCGGCACTGATGACCACCACAGGCTGTGTCCTCTGCTGACCATTGAGAAAGAGGCTGACAATCCTAACCACATTTTAGAACAATTGAGTCCAGGCCAGAAGTGCCCTTAGCATTCTTTCCCCAGGAAAGACCCCTGCCTCTAAACCCCGTCGTGCCCACACCATGAAGCCCAGTTGCCGTGAGTCTCTGGGGCCCCAGGAGACAAGGAGAACAGAGGATATGGGTCCAGGGAGATGGCTGGATTGGACCTGTGCAGGGGGGACTGTGGGTGGAGCTCTGAATTCAGAACTGTGTTAGCCACAGAGTGACTGCGTCTGTGCCTTCGGGCAGTGGAAAGGGCATTTGACTCCTGTCAGTGTCAAAACTTGGAAAAGTCATCTGGAAACAGCCTAAATGTACCTCGAAGGGAAATGGATACACCAGCTGGAATACTAAACACTAAAGAGAAATGATTGAGCGTTTCTATTTATACAGATAGACCTCAAAAACGTAATGTTGAAAGGAGAAAAAACGACTTGGCCCGATGATCTGTGCAGTCTGATACGATTTATGTCATTTTGAAACACACACACTAAACAACACTACCCATGTGGTTCTTTGATGCATATGCCACACATGAGAGTGGATGCGGGGGTTAAGGGGGAGTGGGGGGAGGGGCTGGACAGAGAATCGGGAGAGAAATGGGGCTTTGACTCCATTTGTAATAAAAAAAATAAAAACAAAGGATTAAGCAAACATAACAAACTTTGAATGGTTGTCACTTCTGAGCAGGAGGACTTGGATGTTTGTCATGTTATCGTTTGTATTTTTTACGTTTTTAGAATGAAGAGGGGGAAAGCTTGCTCCGTCTCCCTCAGTCTCAGTTTCCCCATGTCTCAAATGAGGTAATTGGTCTAGAATAGTGGATGGCTGTCAGACAACAGGATTCACAGACCACTGAAACTTCAGGAAAAAAGAAATTGGGAACAGGGATGTCCATTTTAAATTTTACCCAGAATGGCTTTTAAGCAAACCAGTTATCATCTATTCTGATCATGATTTCATAAAAAGAGGGGACATTTTCACATGAAATTAGTGGGAAGGGCACCATCTCAGAAGAGGTCGAATAAAATTTTATTCCTGTTTTCCAATAACATGTTTAGTAAAAGAAACACAGACTCATTGCAAAAAATTTGGAAATTTATCGAGAACAGAATAAAAATTACTCACCCCTTATTCTCACCACCCAGAAGGGTAATTATTGTTAACATTTCAGCTATTTCTTTACAGTTTTATATATATAGGGTGTATGTATATTTCTAATTATACATGACTTCTGTTCCTTATTTCTTATTGTAAAAGTAATATATTAATGGAAATTTAGAAAAAAAGATAAACTGAAGAAAATGGAGATATTAATAAATTGAACTTTTCCTCCATATTAATTTTTCTCATTTCACTTTGAATCAAAAAAAATTTCCACAGACTGGCATTTGGGAATCCTAAGTAGAAGGAATAATAATAAATGATATTTACTGAGCGCTTACTGTGTGCCAAGCCTTGTGCTAAATGCTTTACAGGCCTTATCCCTCTTAATCCTCACCACACCCCTGTGAAGTGGATGCTGTTACTGCCCCATTTCACAGATGTGGAAGCTGATGTTCAGAAAGGTGAAGCAACTTGCTCAAAGTTACACATCTCCTGGAACCTGACGCCCAGAGAGGTTAAGTAACCGATGACACTTCCCACTTCACTGCCTGAGGGATTTGCTCTCTGCCCACCCTGTGTCCTGAGAACCAGCCAGTGGCCTTCCTGGAGTTTGAAGTTCAGTCTAAGGTCAGGGGACAAAGGAGGCTCTCGCTCAGGGCCCAGTGGTATGTGGTCAGGAGCGCGGTGGCCCTGACTAGAGAAGTCTTCTCTGAGAGGTGCTTTCGTGGTTTAGCGATAGGGGAAGAACTTGTTCTCCTTTTTATCAGTCAAGGCCAAGGTCAAGGTCAAGGCCAAAGTTGTCTCATCTTGTCCTCCCTCTGAATCAGCGCCCAGGGACCTTAATCCAGGGTCAGCCCTGCCCAGGAACCCCTGGGCAAGCTCAGGTCAGCCTGCTCATGAACTGTCACGCCTTCAGGTTTGGTCCCCACCTAAACCAGGCGGCAGCAGCCTTCATTCATTCATCTCATGTTTGTTCACGCGCCTCCTGTGGGCTGAAGACCTACCCCGTGCCAGATGCTGTGGTGAGTGTTGGGGGTCCAGTGAGAGACAGGAAGAGACCCTGCCCTCCCGGAGCTCAGTGTTGGGGAGAGACACTGAAGGTGGAAAGAGAAAAGGCCCCAGCGCTCATGGCCTTGGCTGCCGACCAGGCAAGGCTGCCAGCAGCCTGCCCTTCTGAGGCCGGCAGCCGGCAGATTCGCACGGCATGCGCCACCGGCCAGCCACTGCGGGTCTGGTGGAACCCGAAGCTCACACCATCTCAGGAGCCTTTTTTTAGGAAAAAGAGCTCAAAATGCAAAATTATAAATACAACATTAGTGCAAACATGAATGTTTACTAGCATGGGAAAGGAAAGCACAGCAAATAGCAAATTTTTAAAAACTACCAATTCCATAAACATCGCAAAATCCAGAGAAATAAGATAACACTTCTATGAATTGACTGCCCGACACACCTCTATTATATTTTGTCCTATCTTTTTGGCTGCACATCCTGGGATCACTGTGTGAACACATGTCAAGGGCCCCTCCCAGAGCAAGTGAGGGGTCCTGAAGTTTAAGCTTCATTAGCGCCTTCTAAATCCACCCCTAGATTTAATTCTTTGTCTCATTGAATCCTCAGAACAAAGCCTATCTGGCAGGCACCATTATTACCCCATTTCATAGATGGGACAACTGAGGCTCAGGAAGGGAACGGGTTGTCGAAGGTCGTCTGCTCTCCCTGTGACCTTCACACTACCCTGCCCTACACACAGCTCTTGGGTTTGGTAAATAGACTCAAACACATCCCCAGCCCAAAATGCTCCCAAGCTGCAAGGAAAAGGCGAGATGTGAAACCTGGAAGAAACGCAGCGCTATTACAAGGCCAAATGCGACACGTGCCTCAGCTTCCCTTTCCTTTTCTATCCAGGTCTTGATCAACTTCCGCCTCTTCCAGGAAGCCTTCCAGGACTCAAGGGCCCACTCCGGCCTCTTCTTCTTTGCCTCACTCAATTAATTAATGTCCCCACTCTGCTCTTCTTTCACCGTGGTCAGGGGGAGTCAAGATCCCCCTCTGGGGGGAACTTTGCCTAACTGGAAAATGATGTCTAAGGTCTCTTTCAACTATAGAACTACAGGATTCTGTCTTTTTCTTTCTATTTTTAAGAGAGCCTTGAATCCTTATGGTCCAGTATCAAGGGTGCAGCCCCACCCCATGCAAACTATCACCACGCCCTGTGCCCTCTCTGACCAGGGCCTCCAACCCCCAGCTATGGCCCTGTCTCACCTGGATTTTTGCAGCAGTCTTAGTCTCCATACGGCTGCCTGAATGATCTTTTAAAAACAGAATAAAGACAACCCCCCCTGCCATGGCTGCAGGGCTCCTGGGCCCCAGCTCATCTTTCTACACTGTCCTGCCCACCCCTGCCGGCCCCACCAGCCACATGGCAAGCTCTTTCTCACCTCAAGCCTTCCCACATGCTGTTCCCTTGATCTAGGACACTCTTGCCCATGCTAAGTCCTCCACTTCCTTTCTACCTCGGGTGCAGCATCTTTGGAGAGGCCTTCTCTGACCCTCCAGTATAAATGAAGTCCCTGGGAATAGAAAGTGATTTTATATACTGTGGTAGGCTGAGAAATGGCCCCCAAAGATAGCAGGCCCTGATCCCTGGAACCTGTGAATGTTCCCTGATGTGGAAAAAGGATGCCATTTGCAGCTGTGATCAAATTAAGGACCCTGAGATGAGAGATTATCCTGTATTCTCAGGCTGGGCCCTAAATGTGATCATATGTATCCTTATAAGGGAGGAACGGAGGGAACATAT